ATGTGGGACAAGCAGAAGCAGGTCTTGCTGTCGCCTGGCAGAGACTCGAACGTACCTTCGGCAGTGCAGAAGCAATAGAGAAGGCCCTATTCAAGAGACTGCAGAACGTTCCAAGGATCAATCTCAAGGATGTCCAGAAGCTTCAGGATTTAAGTGATCTGCTCATGGAACTGGAGCTTGCCAAGGGTGACCCTCGTCTGTCTGGGCTTTGCTACCTGGATACAGCTCATGGAGTGAACCCAATTGTCGTGAAGCTACCATACAGTCTGCAAGAAAAGTGGGCGGCATCAGTCTCAAGGTACAAAAGAGAGCATGACATCACCTTTCCCCCATTTATTCACTTCTGTAGATTTATCGATGAACAGTCCCAGATGAGGAATGACCCCAGCCTCGACTTCCTGGAGTTCAACACTACAGCTTCAGCAACATCATCGTCAAGGTATGAAAGCATCATGCATAAACACAGAGACTTCAAGAGCAGCGTGAGTGTTAGAAAGACTAACCTACCATCTCCTGCAGTACCCACGGGTAAACAGTACACCACCTCATCAGGAGATAAGACCTTCAATCGTGAATGTCCCATTCATAAAAAACCACACTCTCTGAACAAATGTAGAGGGTTTAGATTCAAAACCATACTGGAGCGCAAGAAAATCCTCACCGAGCTCGGGGTATGTTTCAGATGCTGCGCTTCATTGGAGCACATGGCTAAGGACTGTAAATCTGTCATCAAGTGTGAGGAGTGTCATAGTGAAAGACATGCCTCAGCTATGCACCCAATCCCACTCTCCAGAGATTCACCCACTGCCGTCACCACCAGTCCTGCTCCAAGTCATGGCGGGGAGCCCCAAAAATTACGCTAATGCAGCGACTGCTGTTTCCTGCTCATGCTTGGATGTATGTGGGGAGGGCCAGTGCGAGAAATGTTGTGCCCGAATATGCCTAATCAAGGTCTACCCAGAGGGACTACCAGAAAAGGCAGTAAAAATGTATGCCATCATCGACGACCAAAGCAACCGGTCCCTAGCAGGTCCTAAATTCTTTGAAGCCTTTGGAATAAAGGGACCATCCGAACCCTATACCTTAAACACCTGCTCGGGCCGCATAGAGACTAGCGGCAGAAGGGCACAAGGATTCATCGCTTCTCCTGTCAGTGGGGATACGGAAATACCCTTACCGACGCTGATCGAATGCGATCAAATACCCAACCATAGGGATGAGATTCCTACCCCAGAAGCTGCATTTCACCAACCTCACCTAAGGCACCTAGCCAACGTTATCCCACCTATGGACATCAACGCCGAGATTCTACTCCTGCTCGGCAGAGACAATCTAAGGGTACACAAGGTGCGTCAACAGTGTAATGGTCCTGACTATGCACCATATGCCCAGAGACTGGACTTGGGATGGGTAATCATAGGAAATGTATGCTTAGATCAACCAGGAATTGACTCTTTCAAAACGTACGTGCGTGCAGATGGACGCACAACTTGCATTAAGCCGTGTCCTCATCACTATGAGGTGAAGGAGAAGTCTCCAGGCCTCATACAACCACCTGACGTCATTACTCCCCTCTTTGCCGACAACTTGGGGAGATCAGTCTTTCATACAACCAAGGACGACGATAAAGTAGCCTTGTCAGTAGAGGACAGAGAATTTGTCGAGATAATGGACAGTGAGTTCTTTAAAGACGAAACCAATCACTGGGTTTCTCCATTACCCTTCCGAGCTACCAGGGTAAGACTCCCGAACAACCGGGAACAAGCTCTGTCTAGATTTAACTCTCTTCAGCGTACCATGAACAGCAAGCCTGAAATGAGAGAACACATCGTTGCCTTTATGGATAAAATATTCCGTAACAACCATGCAGAACCAGCTCCATCCTTAAGGAAGAACGACGAGTGCTGGTACTTGCCTTCATTCGGAGTATATCATGCCACTAGACCTATGTCTGTAGGTTCCTTTACTAACTCTACTTGGCTTACAGGTCCGGAGTTTCTGCTAAAACAGGCGGACGATTGTGTACAGGAAGTTTTCAGCATCCAGGATCCGGATAATGATCCAGAAATCCGCGCTGAAGTCAGTGTATTGGTCACTGGAACAAAGCAAATCTCCAGCCTCGGTAGCCAGCGCTTTGAACATTTCTCCAGTTGGATGAGACTCGTCAGGACTATCGCAAGGTTAGTGCACATTGCGGAATGTTATCACAATACTCACAAAGATAAGGATTGTCACGGTTGGCACGTCTGCCATAAACCCTTCTCTGCGGAGAACATCTCTCATAGTGAGTCCCTCATAATACGTCACGTCCAACAAGAGGAATTCAATGTAGAATGGAAGTGCTTATACAACAAACAGCAGATTCCAATAAAAAGCCCTCTTGCCAACTTAAATCCAGTTATTGACAGTTTTGTTGCTCAGAGTTGGTGGTCGTTTGAATCAAGCCCACCTAAGAGTTGCAGAACAAAATCCTCTCATCATTCCCAGCAAACACCATATCACCGTCTTGCTGATCCGACACTACCACAAACCAAACCTAAAAGAAGGTGACCTCGTGTTGATGAAGGAGCAACAAACCGTACGGATTGACTGGCCTATGGGACTAATTACAAAGGTTCTTCCTAGCAAGGATGGCAAGGTCCGTAAAGTGGAGTTGAAGATCTTCAGAAAGGGTGAGCTTAAAATATTCGCAAGGCCAATTAATGAACTCATTTTGATACTACCCATCGAGAACATTCCTGCTGGGTGAACTCTACTGAACTTGAACTTTGTGGTTCTTCTCTATTCCAACTCGGAATCTACTATATTGTTATGTTTATTGCATTCTAACATGTTCTTTGTTACAGGTTGTTTTATATTTTATGGACATTCGTCATAGTGAAATCCCTTATGGAATTTCAGACGGGGAGTGTGCTGTTCTCCTCATATTTGTTATTTAACTGTGCATTGTATTACCAATTCTTATTTCACCATGTTGTTTTTCTATGTCTTGATCTGTTGCTGCCATCTGCTGGCCAGAATTTGCATGCTGCATGCCTTTGTTATAGCTAGTAAGTGTTTTCTCTGCTGGGGGCGTGGTTTTTTAGGCAAGCCTTGGTTCTGGTCACTTCCTGCAGCCATTTTATCTGCTATATAGCTGTGTGACAGGACATTCATTACCCTGGGCTTGTGAAGGCATCAGTTTTTGACCAGCAGTTAGCCTCAGGAAAGATATCACAGGACAGCATCAATACCTCTACTACCTTACAGTATTGTATCACTGTTTGTCGCTGTATTTTGGACCAAATAAACCCACGCTGATTTCATTCCCGTGTATACGTTTGGATCCATCTAACCTGAACATCTGCCGGTCCGGTCTGCTCCACTGCTTGGATACGAAGGTAGGAAGTTACACAGCCACATTCGCCTTCATGTGGGGACAGAACAGTATGAGGCACACAGCTTTGTTTGGATGACGTTTGTATGAAGCACAGAGACTTGTTTGGATGAAGTTTGTATAAAGCGCAAAACTTTGTTTGTATGGAGTTTGTATGAAGCATAGAGATTTGTTTGTATGAGGTTTGTATAAAACACAGAGCTTTGTTTGTGTGAAGATTATATGAGGCACACAGCTTTGTTTGGATGAAGTTGTATGAAGCACAGAGATTTGTTTGCATGAATACAGAGGAGGAATTGTCACTTATTTTAGGATTGCTCTTGAATTTGGGAATTGTTCTGTATGAAGACTGCACTTTAGATATTTTTGGAATGGTATTATATCACAAATATGTTGGTGGTTTATTAAAGTAAAGTTGACACTTGTTTTAAATGTATAATTTTATTATATTTATTTTGTTGCTATAGTGGTTCTGATATTTTTGTGGTTTCGGTGGTATATGGTTTAGAATTGGGTAAATATGAGCATTACACTTATATGTGCTATACACTTGTGTACTTGAGCACAGTGTCATTCAGAATTTTAACAACTGTAAACCTATGAAAATGTCACAGTACTTTTGTCCACGCAAACTCATACTGAGCTTTATAAAAGCAACAGAGCACACAATTGCCCAAAATGAAGGCAGAACACTTTTATTTCAATATCTTATTGATGCTATCATAATATATTAAAAATAGGACATATACATAACAAAGCTATTGTGTGGCCCTCTGGATATGTTGGGGGCCACAATTCTGTTGACTGCCACTGATCTAAGTACACTTGTTTAGTGTATTGATGCTGTGAAGGGAAAGGGCAGAGGAGAAAATTTCTAGGGTCTTTCGTCAACATAGGCTTTAAAATTCCTAGGCTGATGTTGGTTGTCTCTTTCTGAAAGTGCTATTTGCTTGGCTTTCTCTTTGCTCAGTATTTGAAATGATTCAAAGCAAACATAACTTTAATGGGTCACATGACTAGGCCTGCCTCCTGGCTCGATAAATGCCTTCACCCCCTCTAGTCAATCACTCAATTATATTTACAGAAATAGTACATTAAATGCCCCAAATAGTTCTGAATACTTCTGTAACCATTTCAACACATGGAGTCTCAAGTCTTCAATTTTGTGGGTTGCAGAGTGGGAAAGTTCATCTTTGAGTGCCCATGTTGCCGCTTGGGTGTTGTGGACACTTCACATTGGCTGTCCACCACTGGAGCTTCTCAGAATACTGCATCAGTGTGATGACATTACAACAAAGGAAAGCAACAGGACTTGGTGGCCGGCATGGACTACAGCACTGGATCAGTCTCCATTCATTGAAGAGGTGATGGATTCAGTCAGTCTCCATTCCTTGAAGAGGTGATGGATCAGTCTCCATTCCTTGAAGAGGTGATGGATCAGTCTCCATTCCTTGAAGAGGTGACGGTGGCCGGGTTTGATTTTGCACAGAAATGGGCTTTATTGATCCTTTTATCTAGCAGTTTTAAATGTGGGTCCTTTTGGTTAATAACATAAAACAAGTCAAATCAAAACAGTTCACTTTGGCTCACCCAAAATATTTTCTATTGATACACGCTCTCTAGGTCAACTTTCTCTTTCTGTCATATTCCTCCTTCTATTCCTGACTAAGCGGAACCTCCAAACCAAAAAGTACAACACCGGGTCAATGCAGCTATTGAGGCTGGCGAAAGGTCGTGTGGATTTGTAGGCTGCATTAACGGCATCTAAAGTAGGACAAGGGGCAGTGTCCACCTTTCGGTAGTAATAGTAGAGTGTACGGGTTACATGGTATGGCAAAAAGCAGGTGATGAAAACCACAAGGACCGTCATAATCATTTTAACTGACTTCCTCTTGGATTTTGATGCCTGTGTGGCAGGCACAGTTGGCGTTACAAGCACATAAATCATGAAACTGTTGCAAGCAAGGAGGACCGTTAAGGGGACACAAAAGAGGAAAACTAAGGTCACCGTATTGTAAACAACAAACTGATCAAAGAGTTCAATGCTTGCTGTGTCGTGGCAGATAGTGCTGTCATCCATATGGCTGGTGGACACAAAATACAGTATTGGTGACTGAATGCCAATAATGACCACCCAAATTGTAATAGAGGTGATCCGTGCATATCGAATATGACCCCATTGTAGAAAGTGTATGGGGTAACACACTGCCAGAAAACGGTAAAAACTGATGCAGAGAAGGAAGAGGATACTGCAGTACAGGCTGGTGTAGAAGAGGAAACGGACTATCTTGCAGAGCGGCTCAGAGAAGGGCCAGTCATTGGCTTTGGAGTAATAGTAGGCCAGCAGTGGAAGAGATAAGACGTAGAGGAGGTCTGACAGAGCCAAGTTGAACATAAAAAGTGTGACCACCTTCCATGGCCGAATCTGGAAGATGAAAATGTACAAGGCGATGATGTTGAGGATGAAGCCAAACACAAACACTACTGAATAGGCCACGGGCAAAAGGATGTACTTGAAGTCTTCTTGAAATATACATCTGTAGGTTGCATTCCCTGTCTTTGAATCACCCATGAAGTAAACCAAAGGGCTGAAACAAAGAAAGAGGAAAATTAAAGACAATACACAAACAAATCTAAATTCCAACAGCAGAAAAACGTTTTTTTTTTCATCTATGATGGAGCCGGCAAGGGTTACAGCCTCTGTCTGGTACTGCCATCTGTGTCTTTATTGGGGAGATTTCCCCTCACTTCTTGGCAGGACAGGAAGTGATAGAAAATCTCTCCATTGAGGTTACAAGAAAAACGTTGGAAATAATTGTAACATCTGACAATGTATCAAGGTATATGTAAAACCCTAACAATGATGTTCTTCCTTTCACTATTCGGTCTGTTAAATAGACCATTTTGTTGTATTCGTTCAAACGGTGGCAAATATACCTTTTGATTCTGACAAAAATTCAGACTGATATCTATTCGCAATGTGCCTAGCTATCTCTGTGGACTAAAGAACACCTTTGCCCTATGTTATGGAGAAGAGGATTGTTCTGCAGTCCTGCCAAACGTCAAGTCAATAGGCGACAACATTGTCCCTCCATAGATAAAGTACACTAAGTGAGCATTGTCACCCTAGGACAGGAAGTGTGTCAGATGCACTTTAATTGCTGTTTATGCCATCTTGTCGCTGTGGTAACCCCCTATGTCTTTTACAGGCATCAGGAACAGCAAGAGTGGGAAAATCTCCCCCTTTGGAATGCAGAAAAATCCAAAAGCAAAAAAAAAAGTCTGAGTATAATCAGCTAATTAAATATGTGGCCAATATGAAGAAGAGCAAAAATAAATATTATCCATAAATGGTGGCCATAAAATCTGTATCCATTCTAAATATCCATTTGTGCTGGAAACGTTTAAGCAAATAATTGTTCTAAGGTTTGTGTGGAAGCCGCCATTGCTGTCTTCTCCTTCTTAAAATGCTTTCTTACTGGCTGCCATAATAAATCTATGGTTTCAGTATTTTCAGGGGCTCTGGTCTAGAACAAATTTGCTGGTCGGGAATTTTGACTTCTATCTGCCTTTCCTTATTTTCAAGCTCAGATTTCTTCTGCATGTTGCTTGGTGGTTAATTCAAAGGGAGGAAAAAAACTCTATTTTTTTTTAGCTTTTTGCAGCACACCTTAGTGCCCATGGTAGTGCAGCACTACCCCCATAAGAGTCCCTAAGTTTTTGGTTCCCACTACAGTCCTGTACAGCCAGGTGACACACATCACCTTCCTCCACACTTGCACACTGAGATGGTAACCAGTCCTAAGCTTGTTTTTGTGATTTTATTAAGGGGTATTGAACTTGGATGGGGTTCAGGGATGCATGGGATGCCCAAGGAACTGTGAACTGTGAGGACAAACTATGTACAAGTCTGTGGACAAGAAGCAAAATATGTCTCTTCTTTGAGAGCACTCCAGCTCTCCAGTGTACCTCCTCAAACCCCAGATGAATCCTCCTCTTCATTCTAAAGGTATTTCCTGGGCAAGGGAATCCAGAAGCTGCCAAAGATTAAATAGTCCCGACCGAGGATCTAGTTGGGTTCTCCACTTGACTGCCCTCTACCCTTTTCTGGCCCAGGGGGTGTAAGGTTACTCACACTGTCCTTCCTGATAGCTTTATGGGTTGGTGGCTGCCTTCAGGCCTTCTGGTGGGCTGGCTCCTTCCCTGCTGATCAAGCTGTTCCTCTTAGTAGATGGTGACACAGTGGAAGTCCCCTCTTCCAGAACCAGTCTGTAGGTAGGCACCTTTCCTTTGCCCCCTCCCAGGCTCCACACTCCAGCTCCTACTCCATCTTCCACCCGACACACACTGACAGCTTCCTGTTGATCAGACTCAGTCATATCTGAGGGCTGTCCTGACCCCATGCCAAGCCTCCTGCTTGGGGGATTGGTCAAATCCCTCAGGCATACAGATCATCTCCTCCTCACCCCCAGCCACTGCCTTCCAGAAACTTCTCAAGATTCCAGAGCAGGGGAAGGTATCAGGGAACTGACCTGCACAGCCCTCAGCCCTGACCCAGAGCAATCTGGCTAACTCATCCCAGGCTTACTCGTCCCAGGCTCTGCCTAAAAAAACTAGCTAGCTCCCCCTGGCTAACTAGAGGGGTGCTACAATAGTATCCCTCACACACCAACAAAAAATTAGTTATAGTGGTCTGCAACTTTCCTCTGCTTTCCATTTAACATTATAATGGTTAACACTCAGGGAACTCAAGCATGTGTAAAGTTGGATCTAAAGACATCTTCAGCTGATTAGATCATGCCTGCATGTTCCATCATCCTTTAATGTCCATGGCTAGCTGTAGAAAGGCTCTTGCTGTAGGATGAAGGTGGAGAGCCTCAAGGCTGCAGATAACAACAGCAAGTCGCTCCCTGGTGTACAGTTCACCTGACACACACTTTACAGGTTCATTTACTGACTGGAAAATATATTACAAAGTTTTAGTTCTGTTTTGAAAAAAAAAATGATTTAAGATTATGAATTCATGTTAAACCAACCTATGTTATGGCTTTACAGGCCTGCGGATTGGCTATCACCTCCAATATCCTTTCTTCTTCCCTTGCTTCCCATCCTTTGTATATGTTTTCAGGTACAACGTTTGAGTAGGGACGTGATTGTCACTTCCACAGGCTTACATCAATAATGACGTAACGGATCTGCAGACTAAAGTACAATAAAACTGCACATTGAGTTTTGTAAAGTAAATATTCCTAAAACTGTCAATATATTTTCTGCAACTCATTAACAACCTTTGCTATATATCAGGAAATGACACACATTTATTCTTGGTTTTTGTTTTTTACACTCGGCATTACAGAAGTTTTTTGGGGTTTTTTTTTACTGACTAAACTATGACACATTGGGATCTGTTATAATATATTCTGCAACTGATTAACAACAATTACCATAAATCAAGAAATTATCGATTTCTTTTGTAAAAAAAAAATGGAAAAAAATAAATTCTCGGTTTTAGTATCCCTTGCGACAGGCAGATGTCTATCAATGAATGTATACCCTGTATGGTGGCAGCACGGGGACAATAGGTTATTTTAAATGGCGGTATGAATACCCTCTTTGGGCCATTGCAGTGGGAAAAACAGGAACACCAAACATGAGTAATCAGAAAGAGAATGGACAGATATTTCAGCTTTGTGTTGAGGGTAATAGACAGCAACTACTTAATTAAGGCTTACGTTTCTGAATAGGAAGACAAAAGAATAGATTGGTGTAGTGCTGTGTGCCTTTTTTGGGGTACCCTTAAAAGGACAAGGGTCATTACAGGCTGATTCCTCCCACTCTAAAAAAAAAACATTGACTACTACTGATCAACCAGTCTACAACAAAGTCTGGTATAATCTCATCATACGAGGGGCGTTTAAGTCAAACCGGGACTTTTGAGTTTATCCAATAAAAGAACAAATTTTAAGGAGTGGAAACTATATTTATTTTTTTGACATACTCCCCTACTACATTTATTTAACTAATGCCTGGAAAGCTTTGACATGGAAAGATTTGTCAGTACACCTGAACCATTCTAGGACAGCCTACTTCACTTTGTCATCACTGTGTTCACCGTTCCCACTGAAAGATTTGTCTCGTGCAAATTTACTACAGGTTATGCATCGAATGTCCAGGATCAGGCATTCCACGTGGTGAATGTTAAAAGGAATGACTGTTGTGGGCTGGGAACCACCACAGCTGGGATCATCACTGATGAACGTATGGCCATTTTTGAAACATTCAAATGTCTTACTGCGGCTGAGCATCTCATCACCGCACTGTGCTTGAAGTCTTCTGTAAATATCCGTGGGTTCAACACCTTTGTTCACAAGAAACTTCATCACCATACGCTGTTCCATGCACACACTAACACTGTTGTCTGCCATCTTGATTACCATTCTCTGGACTTGCCCACGACATGTGCGCCACCTATCAGTAGTAGGACACAATTGCCACTTACTACTGCATGTCGTACCACCACGTTAGCATCCCTTTTTATACCTGTAAAATTAAAAGTCCGCGTTTAACTTGAGCACCATTTTTACAAAACTCTCCCGCTATACCTGTTATACTGGTGGGGAATGAATATAGCTGTCATTGCGTGCTGGCTGTAAATGTGGAGGGTCAGCATGGCTATCATGGAGCGCTGGCAATAGAAGAGTGGGGATATTGCTGTCATGGGGTGCTGGTAATAGAAGAGTGGGGACTTGACTGTTATGTGGTGCTGGTAATAGAGTTGTAAGGAGATGGCGATCATGGAATGCTGGCAATAGAAGTTTGGAAACATGGCTGCCATGGGGTGTTAGTAACAGACGTGTGGAGAAATTTCTGTTATGGGGTTTTGGCAATAGAAATGTGGGGACTTGGCTGTCAGATAGTGCTGGCAATATAAGTGTAGGAACATGGTGATCATGGTCTGGTTGCAATAGAAGTGTAGGGACACGGCAATCATGGAGTGCAAGCAATAGACGTTTAGGAACATGGTGATCATGGGGTGCTTGCAATAAAAATATAGGGACATGGCAATCATGGAGTGCAAGCAATAGAATGTAGAAACATGGCTGTCATGGGGTGCTAGTAATAGAAGTGTGGGAACAGGACTGTCATGTAGTGCTGGCAATAGAAGTGTAGGAACATGGTTATCATGGGGTGCTTGCAATAAAAGTGTAGGGACATGGCAATCATGGAGTGCTAGCAATAGAAGTGAAGGAACATGGTGATCATGGGGTGCTTGCAATGGAACTGTAGGGGCATGGTGATCATGGAGTGCTTGCAATAGAAGTGTAGGGACATGGCTGTAATGGGGTGCTGGCAACAGAAGTGTGGGATCATGGCCAGGGGTGGACTGACCATTTGGAAACTCAGGCACTGCCCGAGAGCACCGGGGTCAGTAGGGGGCCCCATGAGATGCCCCTGGCACCTCTTTCATAGGCTTTTTTGAGTTTGGGCAAGGACACAGGGGCCCCATGATCCCCTATTGCCCGGGGGCCCCATGAATTGTCAGTCTGCCCCTGGTCATGGCTATCTTTGGAT